GAGGAGGAGGAGGAGGAGGAGGAGGAGGATGAGGGGGCAGGACGACGAGGGGGGTTTTACCGTCGGACCGGGTCCACCGAGAGCCGGTTATCCGTGCGCAACCCCACATGGCCGCGAGCCGGCTGCAACTCCGGGGAAATGCACGGCGTCCGATGCTCAGCCCGATGATTTTCCCGCATTTGATGTCAGATCTCTGATGACTCGACATTCGTCAAATCTCGCCGGCTGCATGACGCAACGCAACGCCCCACGTTGTTGCTCAGCCGCTGCATCCCGCACCTGCTCGCTGTTTCCTCCCACCACCATCACCACCTCTACAGCCGGCCACGTCACACCGTCTCGCATAGACCGTGCCACTTCTGTCGCATATCGATCAGGCACTCGGATCTCGCAGACTCTCGCGCGCGCACACACCCACCCTTTCCAGACGTATAGAGGCGCCCACTCGGTGAATCGACGACCATGATCGTGTTGGCGCTCGTAGCCCGCGGCTCGTACGTGCTTGCCGAGACGCACGACCCCGAACACGACCGCTTCCTCCCCGCAGCGCAGACGATCCTCTCGCGCATCCCGCCCAACTCTTCGAAGCTGTCGTACGCCTTCGAAGAGTGGCTCTTCCACTACGTCTCGCAAGACGGCATGGTCTACATGGCGGTGGCCGACGCAGAGACGGGCCGACGCATCCCGTTCACCTTCCTAGCCCACGTCCAGAAAAAGGTGAGCCCCACCATGCCCCCCTTTGATATTGAACTTTTGGCTGATTCGGCATTGTTAGTTTCTGGCGAGTTTCGAGGTTCCCGCCGAAGACGATGCGACCGACTACAGTGGGTTGAGCAAGACGCTCAAGGAGATGGTGGGGCGGTTCAATGCGGACCCCCAGGCGGTGGATCCAATCGCCCAGGCTAAGAACGAGCTGGCAGGGGCCAAGGATATCATGACGCAGAACGTGGAGCAGATCCTGAGTAGGGGCGAGCGCATCGAGCTGCTCATGGACCGTACCGACAATGCAGCCAACCAGTCCATGGCATTCAGAAGGAGAGCAGTGGGGTTGAGGAGACAGATGTGGTGGAAGAATACCAAGGTGCTCGCACTGTCCGGCTTCAGCGGCGTTGTGTTGCTCTTTGTTCTGTACAGCCTCGTCCACTAGCGTACCCTATACCCGCACCGAGAACTCTGCAATGGACCCTGCCTTTACACACCTGCACGTTCGACACGGTCGCTCTGGGATCGCACTTTGGATCAAGATGGTCGCAGTCTGGATGGGAGAGAGGGGGTCGGGGGGGG